CTCCACAATAAATAAAAAAATTAGCTGGGCATGGTGGCAAAAGCCTGTAGTTCCAGCTACTTGGAAGGCTGAGGTGGAAAGATTGCCTGAGCCTAACAGGTTGACGCTGGGGTGGCCGTGAGCATGCCACTACACTCCAGTCCAGGCAACAGAGTGAGACTCTGACTCAAAAAAAAAAGAAAGATCTTGTTTCTACAATAAATAAAAAAATTAGCTGGGTGTGGTGGCATGCGTCTGTAGTTTCAGCTACTTGGAAGGCTGAGGTGGAAGGATCACATGAGCCCAGCAGGTCAAGACTGCGGTGGCCGTGAGTGTGCCACTATGCTCCAGCCTGGGCAACAGATAGGACACTCTAGGTCTTACGCCCTTCAGGGGATTCCTGACTTTCTGAGGGCTGATTCCTATGGCCCTCATGAAGCAAACAACACATGCTCCAGGCCTTGCATCTCAGCAGTACCCCAACTCCCTCTGTGTGCTTGCCTGCCAGCCTTAGATTGTGCTTTACACGTTGTGGTTTCCTGCTTGCCCTGCTCTGGCCTCCACAACCCAGCCATCCAATGGGCTGTAAGCACACCTTCTTCCAGAGTCCCAACTCCAACCCTAAGGAAGTGGCACCCCTTCCAAGTTTGCCTTTTCTTGAATTCTCTCAGTCCAAGCATACCCTTCAGAATCCTCTTTACATTTATGGTTATTCTCCTATCAGAGTTTAATATATTAAGCTTCTCATTTAAAATACTGTGTGGTTTGTGTCTTTTTTTTTTTTTTGAGTTGGAGTCTCACTCTGTTGCCCAGGCTGGAGTGCAGTGGTACACTCACAGCCACTGTAGCCTTGACCTGCTGAGCTCAAGTGATTTTTCTGCCTCAGCCTTCCAAGTAGCTGGAATATGCCTCTTTTTTTAAACTTATTTTTTTATTTGCTCTCTTTGAGTTGAGGTAATGAGAGCTAACATTGAGTACCTGCTATGTTTTGCACTGTTAGGTACTTTATCTATTATCTCATTTAACACCTTTTAAGACCACCTTTTATAACTAAAATTAAATGACAAAGCTAGGAAATCACAAAGTTAGGATTCTAAATCAGGTCTGCTTATCTCTAAAGCCCTTACTCTTACCATAACTTTGCTATTTCCCTCAAATAATTCAAAATTTTCTTCAGAGATTTAAATATACATAGATTCTGAAGTTTCTCACTTTCTTCCAGTAGTTGCCTACCTATGAAAAATTTCCTTCGCTTGAGCTCATTATCCCTCATTAGCTCCCCTTTGGATTAGTGAGATCTTTCCCAAACATGTTGACCCTAAGAATTCAGGAGTCTCTTGAAATGCAGGTTCCCAGGTCATGGCCCTAGAGGTTGATTCAGGGTCAGACTAGGGTCTAGAAGCTGTATTTTTAACAAGCATTTAATTCATGAGCAGCAAACTGTAGGAAACATTGGGTTATTTCCCTGATAGACTCATTTCTAGTCTCTTCTTTCAACTCATTCCACACTCTCCCACTCTGTCCCCAATTTCCAGCATTACTCTCAAGGTAAAGACTTTCATACCATTTCACATTGTTTTATTTGCTGATAATAATAAACATCAACTTATTATGCAATTATGCATTTACTATTCACCTTCCCCCCTCCTCACCTTGGACAAAAGCTCCATGAAGGAAGGGGCTGAAACTGCAGTACTGGGGCACACGGTAGGTGCCCAATATTTATGGAATCATCAAGTCCATACAGTAGTTACTATTATTACACTTTATTTTTTAGAAAGCAGGATTTACTGAGAGGACAGAAAAGCTCCCACAGTGGGAGGGGACGCGAAGGGGTTGCCCACTTTTTTTTTTTAAAGTCAAGGTCTCACTCTGTTGCCCAGACTGGGTGCAGTGGCACTATCATGGCTCACTGCAGCCTTGACTGTCTGTGTTAGGGCAGGCTGTGGCCTCCTGCCTCAGCCTTCCCAGTAGCTGGGACTATAGGCATGTGCCAGAATGCCTGGCAGAGAAAAAAATTATACACCAAGGAGTTTTCATAATGCACGAGCATCTGCAACTTCAAAGTCTTTCTGACAAAAGTACATTTTATCTCTTTTTTTTTTTTCAGTAGGAGTCTCACTCTGTCGCCCAGACTGGAGTATAGTTGCACGCTGCTCATGGCCACTACAGCCTCGACCTGCTGGGCTCAGGCAATCCAGTGGCTGGAACTATAGGCACATGCTACTTTTTTAATTTATTGTAGAAATGAGGTCTCGTCAAGTTGCCCAGACTGGTCTCGAACCCATGGTCTCATGCAATCCTCTCACCTTGATTCCCAAAGTGCTGGGACCACAGGCCTGAGCCATCATGCCCAGCCCTTTTTCTTTTTGATTCCTTTTTTGAGTTGGGGTCTCACTCAGTCATCCAGGCTGGAGTGCAATTGCATGATACGGCTCACTGCAGTCTTGAGCTCCTGGGCTCAGATGATCCTCCTACCATAGCCTCCAGAGTAGTTGGGACTACAGACGCATGCCATCACACCAGGCTAATTTTTTTTTTTTTTTGAGAGCAGGATTTATTGAGAAGACAGAAAAGCTCCCAGAGCAGGAGGGGACCTGAGGAGGTTGCCCCACCAGGCAAATTTTAAAAATTTTTTGTAGAAACGAAGCCTTACTATGTTGTCCAGGCTAGTCTGAAACTCCTGGGCTCAGGCAATCTTTCTGCCTTGGCCACCCAAAGTGCTGGGATTACAGGCTTGAGCCACCATGCCCAGTCTATAAAAGTACATTTGAGGCTGGGCATGGTGGCTCACACCTGTGATCCCAGCATTTTGGGAGGTAGACGCGAGAAGATTGCCTGAGACCAGCCTGGGCAACTTGATGAGACCTCATCTCTACAATAAATCAAGAAAAATTAGCTGGGTGTGATGGTGCATGCCCGTAGTTCCAGCTACTTGGAAGGCTGAGGTGGAAGGATCACCTGAGCCTAGCAGGTCTAGGTTGCAGTGACTGTGAGCATGCCACTGCACTTCAGCCTGGGTGACAGAGTGAGACTTCAACTCAAAAACAAAAACAACGTACATTTGAAGGAAAGCATTTTATTAAAGAGGTCATAAGGTTAGGCAAATATTTATTTATCTGTTTTAAATCTTATTATTTTCTTTTTTCTTTTTTTTGAGTTGGAGTCTCACTCTGTCACCCAGACTGGAGTACAGTGGCCGCTCCCGGCCACCGCAGCCTCGACCTGCTGGGTTCCGGCGATCCTTCTGCCTCAGCCTTCTGAGTAGCCAGAATTACAGGTGCACGCTACCACGCATAGCTAATTTTTTGATTTATTGTAGAGATGAGGTCTCACCTGCCCAGGCAGGTATCGAACACGCAGGCTCAGGCAATCCACTCACCTCAGCCTCCCAAAGGTGCGGGATTACAGGTTGAGCCACTGAGTCCGGCTAAATCTTATTATTTTCAATCCTATTTCAATATATTAGATTACGTAAGGTGCCTCTAAGTGAAAGAGTAGCATATATTATCAGGCATTTGACACTTACTGGATCTTTCTGGTGTCTTTCCCAGACACAGAGATAGTAACTGCCTCCAATGCCTGGATAACAGAACCTCTGTGATTCAGTGCTTTTCAATCCTTTGCTCTCATTAAATATAATGATGATAGGTCACTCTGATTTTTTGGCATATAACTTGAAAGAAATTGAAAGAACTGAATGGCTTTACTATATAAAAACTCTTTCCTCTCCCAACTACTTATTTATACGAACAAGGTTCTTTGGACATACAAATACAAGACAGAATATCATCAATAATGAATCCTATTTCATTCCAGTAATAAGTACTATTCAATCTAGGATATCTGAAATTAAAAAAAAAAAATTATCTTGGCCAGATACTGTGGCTCAAGCCTGTAATCCCAACACTTTGGGAGGCCAAGGTGAGACAACTACCTGAGTCCACAGGTTTGAGAATAGCCTGGGCAATTTGGCAAGATCTCATCTCTACAATAAATAAAAAATTTAGCCACGTGTGGTAGCGTGCACCTGTAGTTCAGGCTACTTGGAAGGCTGAGGTGGAAAGATTGTCTGAGCCCAGCAGGTTGACGCTGAAGTGGCCATGAGTGTGCCACTACACACTCTGGGGGACAGAGTAAGACTCCAACTTAAAAAAAAATTATCTTGATCAACGAAAAAAGCATAGGATAAAAATACAATATATTAAGATAAAAATCACAGGGGAGATGTGGAACATTAATCATGAGCATAATTCATGATTAATTATTTATTGCTTTTGTGTTGTGTATACTACTACGATAGATACAGAGCAGATTTTTTTCTCAATTAGACTGTACAGAAATCTTAAGTGTTGGAAATTCTTATTCACATTTTACAGATAAGTCCCTGGATCACTGAGTCTTGACATCCTTACCTAAACATGGGATGACAACAGTACTCACCTTCAAGAGTCATTGAAGGGTGAAGTGAGATTATGTATGCAAAAGGACAGCACAATAGCTGGCATAGGAAGCTCAGTAAAACTGATTAAGAATGCATTAAATAGCCGGGCTCGGTGGCTCAGCCTGTAATCCCGCGCCTTTGGGAGGCTGAGGTGAGTGGATTGCCTGAGACCGCGGGTTTGAGACCCGCCTGGGCAGTGAGACCTCATCTCTACAATAAATCAAAAAATCAGCTGGGCGTGGTAGCACGCGCCTGTAATTCCGGCTACTTGGAAGGCTGAGGTAGAAGGATCGCCGGAGCCCAGCAGGTCGAGACTGCGGTGGCCGGGAGCGGCCACTGCACTCCAGTCTGGGCGACAGAGTGAGACTCCAACTCAAAAAAAAAAAAAAAAAAAAAGAATGCATTAAAATTTCCTTGCACATAATTATCTAGTCACATTACCAACTAATTATATAGGATAAATTCCTAGAAGTACAATAAAAGGCTCATAGTGTATGTCCAGTATATGTCTACTATATTCTGCCAAACAATTTTCAAAAAAAGAAAGAAACTAGCTTAAATCAGAGAAAGAGCTCACCTTTTGGGTCGAGGAAGGCCCATGGGGGTCAGATTAGGGTCTGGTCTAGGAATGGTTTTCCGGATGCGAATCTGTGAGACTTTCTTTGGCCTCTTCTCTGGTTCAGTCTATTTTTTAAGGGTTAAGAAAAAAGATGGTCAAGTTGTAAGATACTCTATTTTATTTTATTTTATATGGGATCTTACTATGTTGCCCAGGCTGGCTCTGAACTCCCACACTCAAATGATCCTCCTGCCTCTTATAGCTGGGACTACAGGTGTGCACCACCATGCCTGGCCTGTTGTAAGACATTAAATATATGAAGTCCCTTTCCTTGACATTCAAGACACAGCTTCCTTGGTTTTAGTAGATTATTCTAATAAGTAGTTTATGATAAAGCTTTCCCTTCTACTGCTGCTGTGTTTTCAGCAACTACTCCCTTCATATTATTAAAACAGAATTGTATACTCGGTTTAGATTCTGTGATTATCAATATGAAAGTTTCTAACTGCTAAAGATAGCAGATGTTGCAAAATTGAGCATCATCATTTACTCATCTTCTCTGAATGTACAAAGCTGCTTTTTGGTCCAGTTCTCTAAACACTTTAAATACAGTTGCCAGGAAAAAAGTATCTGGAAAACAATGCAGATGAAGAATCCAGTGTAGTCAGCTGTGGTGGCTCACACTCATAATTCCAGCACTTTGGGATGCTGAAGTGGGAGGATCACTTGAGCCCAGAAGTTCGAGACCAGCCTGGGCAAAATGACAAGACCATATCTCAGAAAATTTTTTAAAAAAATTAACCAGGTGTGGTGGTGTGTGCCTGTAGTCTCAATTACTTGGGAGGATGAGGTGAGAGGGTTGCCTGAGCCCAGCAGGTTGAGGCTTAGTGAGCCATGATTGTGCCACTGCACTATAGCCTGGGTGACAGAATGAAAACTCCGCCAAAAAAAAAAAGAATCCAGTATTGGCTAAGCAGAAAAACTAGTTTATTACTCTCTAGGACTCAGCTAATGCTAAAAGTGGTTAAGTAAATATACTCGGGGGCTAGTCTGTACCCAACATGTGATATGAGTCAACAATGGCCATCTCCAATGCCACCTTCCACCAGCACTTTACACTTACCTCTTTCTGTTCTGGAGGTCTGCTCTGTGGGTGAGGACATCCTGCTGTCACACCATCTAGCTCATTGAATCCAGAAACTTGGAATTCAGAGGCTGAAAGCAGGAGTTTGCTGACAGAGGGTTCTGCTACCAAGCAAGACTTTGGTACCAATGCAGGGAATGGAGACTCTAGCCTAGCACAATAGAGATAAAGACAGAGATGAAAAATATGAGAGGGGTTCCCTATCTACTGGCTTATTCAACTTCTTAACACCCAGACTAGAGCTCAAAACTTTCCTTCTTCCCAGGAATGACATCTCCAGGTAACTTGTTTCTAATTACTTCCAGACATCTACGTATGTAAAAAAATTACAAGAATGTGATCAATTCATGTCAATGGTATGGAGTTTTATAAGAAAAAATGTAAAAAGCAACAGGACTTTTTTTGGAGAAGGAGATATTTAGCATACTGAACAAATAAATAATGTTCAGATAAGATCCATTCTATGCAGGAACTGAAGTTGGCTAAATGACACTATATGAAAAAGCATGAGGGGGGGCTTATGGTAGAATGAGCTGTCTACTGATTTTCATTTATTTAAAAAAATGACATTGATTACACATCCTTAGTTGCTACTTGTAACAGAACACATTTCAATCTCAGAGATGTTTATCTGAAAGATGTAGATCAGGTTTACAAGAACAAGAGGTCAGAGTCATGCAGGTCTGACCTGTGCCATCCACAACAGCATGCACATGTGTTCTCTTTCTCTCACATATACACACCTTGAGCCCTCGTATGCTTACCTCATCTGACTGCCGCTGGTGTTATACGTAGCTTCCACGGCTGGGAGAGGCACGTATGGTAATATGGTGTGGCTGAAGGAAGCAAAAGTACAAAAGCAATAGGTTAGGGCAGTAGGACAACAGGCAAGGTTTTGATGCCACTGCAGATATTAGCCCAAGTAGAGCCCCAGATAAACAAGAAATGTCAGGCACCCAGAAAGATGAAAACCTCCCAACCAAGAGAATTACATTTATGTGCCCATCACTGGAATGAAAGCAGGCTGACAGGTAGATTGCTTTTTTAACTTAAATGGAAAGAAAATAGAGAAATAAAGAGAGGACAGTAAGAGAAAGGAGGGGAACATGAATGACTGAGTTGCATACCTTCTAATCAAATTGCTGAACATATAAAGATCTTTAAAAATAATTTAAAGATAAAAATACATTATATTACTCAGTTCTGCATTAACTCTATTAAAATAAAAGCTGCTGGTTTCAATAACCTTACAAAAAAGTAGAGAGTAACCTATTATTTTCTTTAAAGTCAAGTTGCATATAAAACATGGCTATATAAAAGAAAACTGTTAAAATTTAAATTCTTAGCCGGGCTCAGTGGCTCAGCCTGTAATCCCGTGCCTTTGGGAGGCTGAGGTGAGCGGACTGCCTGAGCCCGCGGGTTTGAGACCCGCCTGGGCAGCGAGACCTCATCTCTACAATAAATAAAAAAAAAATCAGCCGGGCATGGTAGCGCATGCCTGTAATTCCGGCTACTCGGAAGGCTGAGGCGGAAGGTTCGCTGGAGCCCGGCAGGTCGAGGCTGCGGTGGCCGGGAGCGGCCACTGCACTCCAGTCTGGGCGACAGAGTGAGACTCCAACTCAAAAAAAAAAAAATTTAAATTCTTTATTTGGTACCAAAGTTACCAAAAGAGAAAAATAAGAATAAGAGAAAAAAGTTAATTCCTTTATGATTAAGCTTTTACTTTTATAGATAAAACAAGTGTCAATTACTTATAGATACATTAATATGCAAAGTTGAAGAGGTTTTGTAGCTCTCAAAGTAAAATCTGAATTGGTTTCTATTGAATTCAGAACACAGTAAGAATTTAATTAGTGAGATGTTTGGGCTAGGCACAGAAGCTCATGCCTGTAATCTCATCTCTTTGGGAGGCTAAGGCGGGAGGATCACTTGAGGTTAGGAATTTGAGGCCAGCCTGGGCAATATAACAAGACCTTGTCTCAACAAAAAATTAAAAAATTAGCTGGACATGGTGGTACATATCCTACCTACTCGCGAGGCTGAAGCAAGAGGATCACTTTAGCCCAGGAATTTGAGACAGCAGTGAGCTGTGACTGCACCACTGCAGTCTAACCTGCAGGACTGAGTGAAACAGCAAACAAAACCTCAAGACTTTACTGACCAAGACCTGGGAAAAAAACCCAAAGACAAAAACCAAAGATATCTGTATGATGACTATATAACCCATATCCTCTCAGAAGATGAAATGTGTTTTTTAACAGCTATAGAAAAAACAGACAATTTAGGTTTCTAGAATAATGCTTACTACTACCTCAGGTTTCCGTGAAGAGTGCTAAGGCAAGGTGGATACTAGAAAAGGACCTGACCAAATCAGGAAACAGGACTCCTTGGTTCTAATTTCTAGCTCAGCTGAAACCCTAACCAGCTGAGTGATCTAGCATAGAAAAAAATCTTCATATGCCTCATGAAGTTTATAAGCAGTTGAGCTTTACAGCCAAGAAGCTATTGCTTCAGCATCTATAAAAAAAAAAGGCAAAAAAGATGTCTGCCCAACCTGTGTTTGTTACAGAGTACTAGAGAACAAGGTTTAAATAAGGAAACTCCACAAAAACATAATTTAGTATGTGTTAAGTCTTATTTCCTGGGGCTACACAATTCATCTTGCGGAAAACATTTCTAGTGTGTTTAGAAAAACGGCCAACATCTAAACTCTAAGCCCAGGCACATGATTTTAAGACACTTTTAGAGCAAAGGAGGTGACTACTACCCCCTTCCACCTTCCTTTTGAATTTAAGTAAAATAAAATAAATAAAATAAAAAGACAGACATAGAAAATAAGGAAGAGAGAGAAAACATTGCATATCAGGAAACAGAAAAGCCAGGAGGGAAAGTGTTCTAGAAGAGGAAAAAGGGCCAAAGAGTCACAGGGTAAAATGAATAACGACCCTCTACACTAACCTCAGAAATAAAGAAGTTTGAATAGAGTAACACAATTTAAAACTATGTGCCAAGACACAGCAGAACAATTATGTTTTAGAGGCATACAAACAAACTAGATAACAAAAGCAGTGCATCACCACTTAAAACAATTTGATTCATTCTAATGCTTTTTGTTTGTTTTTTGAGTTGGAGTCTCACTCTGTTGCCCAGGCTGGAGTGCAGTGGCACGCTTGTGGCCACCGCAGCCTCGACCTGCTGGTCTCAGGTGATCCTTCCACCTCAGCCTCCGAGTAGCTGGAATTAAAAGCACGCGCCACCATGCCTGGCTAATTTTTTGATTTATTGTAGAGATGAGGTCTCACCAAGTTGACCAGGCTGGTCTTGAACCCATGGGCTCAGGCAATCCTCTCACCTTGGCCTCCCAAAGAGCTGGGGTTATAGGTGTGAGCCACTGCACCCGGCCTCTAATGCATTTTTATGGCAGCCTTAAAGGAAGTGAGCATTTTTCTAGCAGCTATAGGATAAGTACTTATAACAGTCATTTATCTTTCAATTCCAAGCAACAACATTCAAGTTTTGAAGTGTTTTTCTGAACCCTTTTATTTATTCAGTCTTCTGCTAAGATGCTCTGGGAACTACACGAAATGCACCAGCAGCTTTTTTATGACACAGAATCAATCTGCATTAGAGACACCCAAAGAACAAAGCTTCTCCCAAGCTATTCAAAATATTAGACCTTTTTGCTGCTGTAGTTTAATCTTTCAGCTATAGCAACGATAAGGGCAAATTAAAAAATAAATTCCTGGGTTTTTTTTTTTTTTTTTGCTTTTTTTATTTTTATTTTTATTTTGAGTTGGAGTCTCACTCTGTTGCCCAAGCTGGAGTGCCATGGCACATTTATGCCATGGCACCCCAGCGCTGACTTGCTGGGCACTAGCAATCCTTCCGCTTCAGCCTTCCATGAGGCTGGAACTACAGGCGCGTGCTACCATGCTTGGCTAATTTTTGAATTTTTATTGTAGAGACAAGGTCTCGCCAAGTTGCCTGGACTGGTCTCGAACTCACAGGCTTAGGCAATCCAATCGCCTCGGCCTCCCAAAGTGCTGGAATTGCAGGCTGAGCCACCAAGCCCAGCTGTTTTTTTTTTTTTAAAAGAGATGAGGTCTCGCTATGTTACCCAGGCTGGGCTTGAACTCCTGGGCTCAAGTAATCTTCCCACCTCAGTCTCCAGAGTAGTTGGGACTACAGGAATGAGTTATCAGGCCCAGTAAGAAGGTATAATGAGGCCGGGCTCGGTGGCTCAGTCTGTAATCCCAGCACTTTGGGAGGTCGAGGTGAGTGGATTGCCTGAGCCCGCGGGTTCGAG